AAGGCGGTTACGTAGTAGGTAACCGAAGAGTATACATAGATTGGGGAAAGAAAGATGTCCGCTCCCGCCGCTGTACAGGACAACTTTGGAAGCGTCGATTCTGAGGCTGATGGCGGATGAATCGCGCCGGACGTTGATGCACATTGGAGAAACGTCATGCAGTGCTGTAGTATTACGTTCAATTCGTATGGACTTTTGGCAAAAAAAATCCATCGAAAATCCAACAAATCGAGAAAAAATTACTGGTGATGTTCCCGAGGTCTTCCAAAGGTCCTTGGGACGCGTGACCATACGAATTGAACGAAATACCACAGTGTTGCATACCTCGATTTTTTGCCAAGGAGAATTACGGGCAATATCTTAATAATCAGAGATTCGAATGGTAATTTAAGTGATCACTATCACAATCAATGTCAGATCTACCATCGTCGTGCTCTATATTTCAAGGTTCTGCACTTGTGCATACTTAGATGAATAATATAATGTTAAAATATTAAATACCCGTTCGAGCGCTTTTGCAACCATATATTATCTTGGCATTGCTCAGCTCTGTAGCGTGATGTGAGATGATGGGAGGAGAAATGACGTCAAGCCTGGGCCGGGAGTAATTAGAAGAGAGCGAGGTGAAAATGCACTGTCATTGTGCTTTGTTGACCACTTCACATCTTTGACGTCAAGAACTTGCTATGGATCCGCTGGCTGGCAAAGAAACCCCAGGTGACACATATATATCTCGCCTTTTCTCCAAATTTTTAGAGTCGGGCGACGACAAGTGTGACCTTTGAGTAGGTAAGGTCAAGGTTAATGAAAGCTTCAAGTTCACTGTTGCGACCTGCACGGTGCACCCTTCTGAAGATTTCAATGCCCGGTGCAGTGTAGCGGTGATCCTCGTGAACAGGTGCAGGTCGCGGCGCTTTATATAATCGATAGAGTTCTCCTCAGGCTGGTGTGCGGCGCAGTCTGCCATGACGAAATAACCGTTCGACTCGGGGGCGGGACATCATTACGGATTCCCACGACCTTTTTTGTACAGGTGATGCGGCAAGTGGCTAACTATGGGCGGGCAGGAGTGTATTATATGGGAGGGCAGGCATGGCAGCCTGAGGCTCGTTCGAATTGTTTCTGCGCTCGTAAATGCCAATGAGTCCGGTATTACTTGAGTCATAGTTGAACGTGTATGCATCGCGGTTGCGCATGTCTTTCACAGCTCGCTGGGCCGGCGCACGCATTGCAACTTTGGGCACACAAACTGGCGCAAGCTCTGAATTATTCTTAAGTTCACCCAAATGATGTACGCACTGTAGTACAGGTGGACGACGCCCGTCCCTCGCAAAAGACACAGCACTCGTACGCGTATTCCGAGCGGGGGATGTACAAGACACGGCCGGCACACGGAAATGCGAAATGCGACACATTCCCTGAAACACGGCACTTGTGCCGCATCTAGTGCCGATTTTAAGGTCGGAACTTGCCCTATTTAGTATTGAGTAATCCTGCAACTCTTCCCTCCACCACCTTCCATCCGCCGCCACCACAGATGTTGCTGACACGTGACGTGGAACTTAACGACTACCTCGGGACGACACGCTTGCGGACAGGACGGCGGGCCCCGGGATTGTCGAGCGGCGGACTAGACACGTAATGGTAAGGCGGCACATTCCCTGAAACACGGCACATGTGCCGCACCTAGTGCCGGGTTTTCGGCCGTCGCCCATTGGGGACCTGTCCATTGAGTAATTTTGCAAAATTTTCTTCCTCTCTTCTCTCCGCCATCTGACACCCGCAGATACCACAGGTGTTGCTAGTGTTGGGGGAGTCCGGTTCGGCGAACCGCCCGAACCCCGAACCGGACCGGACTGAACCGCAGGTTCGGGGTTCAGGTTCGGCATTTTTCTGTGCCGAACCGAACCTGAGGTTCGGGGCTCCCCAAATGCCCGAACCTGGGGGCTTTTTTCACATATTTTTGCCATTTTTGGCAGGTTTTTGCAGGTTCAGCAGGTTCGAACCTCGAACCGAACCTGGACCGAACCCATGTTCAGGTTCGGGGTTCGGGGTTTTGGCCGAACCGCACCCAGGTTCGGGTTCGGGGTTCAGAGAAATGGGGCTCTGAACCGGACCGAACCGAACCTCCCCAACACTAGGTGTTGCTGATGCGCGACCTGGAAGTCGACGTCAACGACGACCTCGGGACGACATGCCCGCGGACAAGACGGCGGGATACATTGTCGCGCACACCATATGAAGAAAAATATTAACCTAGGTCGAAAGGCGAACCGAAAGGATGAGGGATTTTTGCCATTGGCTCGGCCCTTAGTTAATTTTGGAGAATGAAGCCTTTCAATTTTCCCCACGAATTAAGATGAAGAAATCAAAAGCAGAGTAGGGGACCGGCGCTCGCGGCGCTCGCGCCGCTACAGATTCTTTATTATGTAACACAAACTGATGTATGCAGTGTTGTCGCCGGCAAAAGACGCACACATCATAAGCGCATGATGTGCTCGATGGAGTCCTGCTGGTGCACGGTGCACATCCACACTGTATAACTTTGCCTCACTGTAATTGGAAGAACTCCGTTCGACTCGGGGGTGGGACATGACCTGAAACGCCGTGGCGACGCCATTTCCTTTTGCAGGTGTGACCGTGACCTTAAGGCACAAGTTGAATTACGGTTCGGCGTATACGCAACCATCTGTGCCGCCGAGCGGTACGTAAGCCGGTGTAGATTTGGCCTGTTTCTTTACTCAAACCAACACAACTTGAAGCGGATGCACGAACCGTCGTACAAGTGGAACACGCTGCCACTCGCGGAAAACGAAGTCCTCATATTCGCATTATTGTATGGGATGATGTCCTGTTGGTGCACGGTGCACATCCGCGCTATATAAGGGCAGATACCACATAACCATCATATTCGGAAGGACCCGTTCGACCCGGGGGCGGGACATAAATTGTGTTGAATAAGCTTTTTTTTTTTTTTTTTTTTTTTTTTTTTGGTTTTTTTGTTTGAATTTTACAGCACCTTGCGGAACTTAGGGCAGTGTTCGACTTAAGGTTAAGGCTTAACTTAATTTAAGCCTTAATAAGCCTTTAAAATTAAGCTTAACGATGAGCCGGAATCGTCTTAAGGCTTAATTAAGGGTAATGATGGGATCAGAGACAGTGATCCCATCAAAAAAATGTCCCGTGCAAGACCGTTGACGACAAGCTCCAGCCATGCTGGTGAAAAACAGAACTCAACCTACTGCAAAGCATACTGTCTTGGCTGCATCGAAATTCACCGTCCTGACGAGGATTCTGCCAAGCCTCTGCTTGCGGCTCAAGCTTGGTTCAACACTGTTACATTTATCTACCTGACACATTCCAGATAGCGGCATATAGCCATGGGTCAGACAGCTCATGTAGCTGCATAAGTTGCGCCCAAAAAGGATATTAAGCCCTTAATATAGGACCCTTAATTAAGGGTTATTAAGCATTTAAGCCTTAACAATAATGGAGACCCTTAATAAGGGCTTAATGTCAAACACTGACTTAGGGCGCAGCCATTTTTTTCTTTTTTTTGTGTCGTTTTCAATAATTTGATAATTGTGAGCTCAAATCTTAGCCGATTCCTTTAAAAATAAAACCAATCAATTTGCACGGTGAATCCGGAGGGGACCTCGTGTCTGTATTTTTGATGGCATCACTTCATTTACTATATATGGAAATTTCGGCATTTTTATTTATAAGCACTGTAGCACCAGAGATACAACCGTGGGAAACATAGATTTTTGTTTTAAAACACTGATGACCATTCCTGAGGGGATCTTGAGGCCAAAATTTGTTTGTGATCACCCCATGACATAAACAATCCACCTCAATTATATAATGAGTTTAAATATCCTGTTTGATTCAATAGAGGGATTAAATATGAATTCCGGCCTCAAGATCCCCTCAGGAATGGTCACCAGTGTTTCAAAACAAAAATCTATGTTTCCCATGGTCGTATCTCTGGTGCTACAGTGCTTATAAATAAAAATGCCGAAATTTCCATATATAGTAAATGAAGTGATGCCATCAAAAATACAGGCACGAGGTCCCCTCCGGATTCACCGTGCAAATCGATTGGTTCTATTTTTAAAGGAATCGGCTAAGATTTGAGCTCACAATTATCATATTATTGAAAACGACACAAAAAAAAGAAAAAATAGCCGCGCCCTAAGTTCCGCAAGGTGCTGTAATGCAGGTAAAAAACGACGAGGTGCCAATTTGGGGGGGGAGGTGCGCCCATTTGGGTGAGATCTTGGAGAATTCCACTGTAACCTCGGGAAAAATCTGGAAAAAAAAAGTTTCAAAGCTCCCTATCTTGTTTTTAGGTGGTCTTCACGACAGATGTCAAAACCAAGATCAGCTGCCCGCACACACTGGCACTCAGATACAGCAATCATCAAGCACCGTCATTCTCCTCACCATCCTGTGGCACAATTTGATCTGGTGTTTAAGTCAGATTGATTGTGATAGAGCCGACCTCTTCAGCTTCCTTGGTCCATCGGAGCCCGAAAATATGAAGGAATGTTGGGAGGAGGCAAATGTAAAACCATGTTTAGTGCCGGGCACGAGCAGCTCGTCAGCTTGGTACATAGCCTAGATGCGAGCGTACACTGCAAATGAGTCTAGTTTTGACAGCGGCGCCATCCCGATCAGGTCTGCGCAGAGGTCGGGTCTGCGTCCGCATGGGTTTGCATGATCCGCCGTTGGGATCTTTGGATGTTACATCAGTGCCAGGGAGTTTGAATGGACTCTAAGTATAGGGCATACCGGGGGCCTGGGAGATGTGTGCCGTACGCTTGAATTGGCTAGGCGTATATACCACGGACGCGCATGTATTTGTGATCATCTGTGCCTGTGCGCCAACGCTTAGAAACTCATTGTTAATTTGGCTTCTTTCTTTACAAACTGATGTATTCAGTGTTATCGCTGCAGAAGAAGCACAGACTTGATAAGCGCATTATGTACTCGATTGAGTCCTGCTGGTGCACGGTGCACGTCCGGTCGACATAAGTGTGTCACGAGAACTTGAATTGTGTACTCTCGTAATCAGAAGAACCCCGTTCGACTCGGGGGCGGGACATACATATCTGGGGGGAACGGTAACTTTTTTACAGGTGAGGCGGCGAGTGTAGCACGGTCAACGCCGAGCACAAAAACCGGGTGTTTATTTGGCTTGTTTTTGTAACACAAACTGATATATGCACTGTTTGTCGCTGTCAGAAGCTTGAACACATTATGTGCTCGAGGGTCCTGCTGTTTCTTTAACACATACTGATATATGCACTGTTGTCGCTGTCAGAAGACACGCACCTCATAAACACAATATATATGTGCTCGAGGGAGTCCCGCTGGTGCACGGCGTACATCCGTTGACAGTTACTTCATATTAACGTTGGGAATCGGAACCTCGTTCGACTCGAGGGCGGGACATGGAAAGAGAAAGGTGAAAACATTTTGCGCGGCGCGTGCTCGCAGCCGTCGTCTGACTGCAAGGCGGTACATCAGCCCCAGTGTGCTTTATGGAGCTTGTGGGCGGCACGCGCGCGCTGTAGTTGTCGACAGTCGGGGCGGGACGTTGGCGAGCCAACGCAGGCGATGCGACCGCAGCACACGCCGACCCTGACACAATGGCCGCCTAAATAACACAGCCGCCCAGTGACGCAGGTTGAACATGTACACGCGCGGTGATTGCGCGAGGCACATTTATCGGCGATTAATGTATGTCACGGGCTTGGCGCAATGGGGCGTTTGTTGCGGCTGAGCGGCGCTCCGACGTAAAATTAGCAGCCTCGAGGCGCAGTGACAGGCTAAAGGCGGGTCACGGGACTGCGGGGATGCAAATCCTGACACGACGTTGGCAGACACGCGACGGAGGCTCGGCCGAGGAAGCCGGCGGGATAGCCGAGGCAACGCCGAGGACGGGTTGGCAAGGGGTTGCACGGGGTTGGCAAGGGGATGGCACCCGCGCAAACGCCGCGTCACATGCCCAGCTGTCACAGTGCCCGCGCGGCGACGTTGATCGCCCGGCCGGCCCGGCTGCTAATTTGCCGGCCGAAAAGCGCAATCTATCCGCATCCGGCCGTCGCCCCATTTGGCAACGGGCGCAGATCGACCCCGATCAGGACATGCCAATCGGGCAGTGTCACTCCGGGCGAGTGTGACACCGATTGGCTCCGCGGCGAGCCCGCGTCCTATTTAGCAGCCCCGGCGTCTCACACGACACGCCCCACCCACCCATGGCGACCTCGACGCCCGTCGTCCTCCCCAGCATCCACGAGATGTTCCCCGAGCACCTCATCCCCCGCCTCGCGCCCCCGCCTCCGCCCGCCCCCGTGTCCATCCCCGCCCTCGTCCCCGCGCCGCCGCGCCGCCGCCGCAGCCCCAGCCGCAGCCAGTACGCGCCCCCCGCGCCCGCGCCCGCGTACTCGTTCGACGTCCTCAAGAGCGACCCGCGCGGCGCCTCGCTCACCCACATCGCCTCCAGCCGCGCGCGCACCACGCGCGCCGCGCTCCCCGCGTCCGGCCCCGCGCTGCCCCACGCGCGCGACCGCGACCGCTCTTCGTCCACCGGCTCCTCCGACGGCGACGACATGGACCTCGACGGCGACGGCGACGACGACGACGACGCGTACGCGTACGGCTTCGGCCCGCGCGACGGCGCCGGCAGCGAGGAGGGCAAGAAGCACGTCTGCCCGACGTGCAACAAGCGCTTCAATCGCCCCAGCAGCCTGCGCATACACGTCAACACCCACACCGGCGCCACGCGTGAGTCCCCCCGCGCCCACACTCCACTGCACCGCCACTAACCCCGCGCGCACAGCCTTTCGCTGCCCGCACCCCTCCTGCGGCCGCGCGTTCAACGTCAACTCCAACATGCGCCGCCACTTCCGCAACCACGCCGCCTCCGCCGGCGCCCCGTCCCCCACGTCCTCCGCGTCCCCCACCTCGCCCTTCGCGCTCGCCCCGTCCCCCGCGTCGTCGTCGTACTCGTCGCCGTCGCCCGTCTCGCCCGGCGCGTACCCCGCGCCGGGCCAGGGGCACGGGCACGGGCACGGGCACGGGTGGGGCCGCGCCGCGCCGCTCCCCCGCGCGATCCCGCTCCCCCCGCACCCGCGCCCGCACCCGCACGCGCATTCGCAGCGCTGGGCCGCGGAGGACCCGCGCTACTGCGAGAGCGACGTGCGCAGCAGCGCGCGGCAATAACACCAGCGCCGCCCGCCCCGCCCCACCCCCGCACGCACGCACGCACGCACGCACCGCCGCCCGGCGCGGCCACGGCCGCGGCCGCTCTTTCTGCAGAGTCGCCCCCGCACCGCACCGCAGCTGTATCATACACCGCACCTGTACCTACCTACCTACCTTACATGCACGCTTACCTACCTATACTACCGCTAGACACGCACGCCGCGCAGAACGCCGCGAATACATGACGCGTCAGATTGTATTTCCGAGGGCAAGGATGAAAAGTACCAACGAGTAGGGAAGAGAGCAAAATAAAATAAAGAAGTCGAAGATATACTGATTGTCCCGCGCCCGAGTCGAACGGGTACCTCCGCCAGACTAGTAGATAACCTAACCACAACGATATACATTTGGAGCGGCGTGCGCCGCGCACCAGCGGGACGTGCTGCGTACCACCTGGGTGTCCTGAATCGTCGAGTGCAAAGTATGCTCCCAGTGCGCTCCGGGGCTTCTCCATACGTGTAAAAAGAATGCAAATGATCCAACAATCCAACTTATGTCCCGCGCCCGAGTCGAACGGGTGCCTCCGCCACACATACATGACTACGGCATTCTACACATTTGGAGCGGCGTGCGCCGCGCACCAGCGGGACATGAGTGGCAAGGTGCGTTCTTGGTTGTCTTCGAGCGCGGCGGGCGCCGTTTCTGGGCTTATCTTCGTCCTTGTAAAAAATGCTGTCGGTGTTCGCTACCATGTCCCACTCCCGAGTCGAACGGGGGCCTCCGCCAACTCTCTTTCACAGGGCCATTACAGAATATGGAGCGGGGGTGCGCCGCGCACCAGCGGGACATGAGTAGCACGGTGCGTTCCTGGTTTTCTTCGAAGGTTCGGGGCTTATCTTTCCCGGTAAAAAATGTTAGCGATGCTCAACCCAAGATCCATGTCCCATTCCCGAGTCGAACGAGGGCCTCCGCCAAACTTGCATCTTACTACAGGATGTGGAGCTGGGGTGCGCCGCGCACCAGCGGGACGTGGGGTGTACCTATGTGTCTTGAACTTGTCTTGAACCTTGGAGTGCAACGTATGCGGGGATTCTTCCATCTATAGAAAAAAATCTGGGACACGATTCATCCATGTCCCGCGCCCGAGTTGAACGGGTGCCTCCGCCTACCCTTGCCCATGCAGACAGATGGAGCGGGGGTGCGCCGCGCACCAGCGGGACGTGCTGCGTACTACCCGGGTGTCCTGAACCTTCGAGTGCAAAGTATGCTCCCAGTGCGCTCCGGGGATTCTCCATATGTGTAAAAAAAACGCAAATATCCCCATTTTATGTCCCGCGCCCGAGTCGAACGGGTGCCTCCGCCAGACTAGTAGATAACCACAACGATATACATTTGGAGCGGCGTGCGCCGCGCACCAGCGGGACGTGCTGGGTATGTACCACCTGGGTGTCCTGAACCTTCGAGTGCAAAGTATGCTCCCAGTGCGCTCCGGAGATTCTCCATATGTGTAAAAAAAACGCAAACATCCCCATTTTATGTCCCGCGCCCGAGTCGAACGGGTGCCTCCGCCACACATACATGCCCATGACAACTTTCACATTTGGAGCGGCGTGCGCCGCGCACCAGCGGGACATGAGTGGCGCGGTGCGTTCTTGGTTTTCTTCGAGCGCGGCGGGCGCCGTTTCTGGGCCTATCTTCGTCCTTGTAAAACAATGCTGTCGTCGCCACCATGTCCCACTCCCGAGTCGAACGAGGCCTCCGCCGAACTTAAATCTCCAAGCACCGGACATGGAGCGGGGGTGCGCCGCGCACCAGCGGGACATGGGTGGCACGGTGCGTTCCTGGTTTTCTTCGAGCGCGGCGCGCTTCGGGGCTTATCTTCGTCCTTGTAAAAAATGTTATCGATGCTCAACCCAACATCCATGTCCCATTCCCGAGTCGAACGGGGGCCTCCGCCAAACTTGAGTCTTACTACAGGATGTGGAGCTGAGGTGCTTCGCGCACCAGCGGGACGTGGGGTGTACCTAGGTGTCTTGAACTTGGCTTGAACATTGGAGTGCAACGTATGCGGGGATTCTTCCATCTATAGAAAAAAAAGCCCTAATCTGGGACACGATGCACCCATGTCCCGCGCCCGAGTTGAACGGGTGCCTCCGCCAGACTTACATGTCTCGACACCATTGATTTGGAGCGGCGGTGCGCGGCGCACCAGCGGGACATTGAGTGGCACGGTGCGTTCCTGGTTTTCTTCGAGCGCGGCGGGCGCCGCTTCTGGGCTTATCTTCGTCCTTGTAAAAAAATGCTCTCGGATCCTGAACATGTCCCACTCCCGAGTCGAACGGGCCTCCGCCAAACTTGAATCTCCAAGGACCAGATATGGAGCGGGGGTGCGCGGCGTGCGCCGCGCACCAGCGGGACATGGGTAGCACGGTGCGTTCCTGGTTTCTTCGTCGGGGCTTATCTTTGTCCTTGTAAAAAAATGCGACCCATGCAACAGAATATGTCCCATTCCCGAGTCGAACGGGGGCCTCTGCCGGAATTATAGGACGACCATGTCGGAAAAATCAAAATTTGCATATAGCGGATCATGAGTGCTTGCAAGCCGTCATACCATCATAAGCCTAAGCGTGGCTTGTGACACAGGCTGAAAGGCGGTCAAGCGGTTGTAAGCCACGGCCCGGGTTCTAAGCGGTTCGAAGGACGTAATCCATCCCCGGGCTTTTATGCCGTTTTAGCCGCATGCAAGCACTCAGATTCAGAGAACAAAAAAAAATAAAAAATGTTTTATTATTGTAAAAAAAAATATCACTACTAAAATCCAGCTGCATAGGGGTGACCCCGCTGCCACACGGCGGCGAGCGCAGCACATGCATGGCGCGGAAAACTCTTCCGCCG